GGCACTGTTTTAAACAGCAAAAGCCAAAGCGCTACAAGCTGTTGGGGCTCTGTATGACCAGCGTTGCCAGGTTGACGTTTTTAACGTCATTTGGACGTTTTTTGTACCCTGTTGACGTTAGGACGTTTTTTGTGTAAAAAATGACGTTTTTTAACTTCCCAGTAATTTTTCTTTGTTACTAAATCTTATAAGTAGAACTGATTTTGAATTATTTTCTTAATAAATCTTTACAATCTTTGTGTTTTGCTGCAGCTGCTTGAAAAGATTTTTTTCTCGATTCTTGGACTAAGGATTCCGTGTTAAAAGGCTGGTTGTGTAAACACTTGAGGTTACGAGGCTTGCTGTAATGTTTGCAATTGCACATTAAAAGCCAATTCAGGAAGAGCCGATCTATTGCAGTAGGCACGCTCGCAAAAGCATCAAAAAAGCTGTGCAGCTTAAAACGTCAGAAAAAAGTAGGCTACTTTTTTAAGACTTCATTGAAAATGTAATGAACACAAAAAAGACTGAAATATTAGGTCCATTCAATAACTTTTCCATTTAGTACTTGCAGCGAGAGCGTAAAAGAAAAATAGAGAGTAAAATTGAGAGCAAGAGAAAATTTTCAGAAAAAGTTATTGAACGCAAAACTAGTAAAAACTTGCAACTTAAGCCATTTTGACACTTTCTGACGGTTAAATTTTGGCGCCCAATTTTCTTTTTAATTGGGAATAGTTCNCGCGCTATTTTCTTTTTAATTGGGAATAGTTCCCATCGTCATAAAAATAAAAAATATACAATAGCTTTAAATTTTTCATCCATATTTTCATTTCACTAATTGAATTTGAAACATAACCTTACTTTTTGACTCCTGCAAATTCATGCTAGTAAAATTTTTACTTGCAAGAATTTGCAGCTCTCTCGGGTAGTTACGCTTTCGAATTCGCTCCCTCTTGCAAATATTTTGGGTTATTGAATGCATTCCCAGTAAAAACTTGCAAGTACTAGNTGCAGCTCTCTCGGGGTGTTACGCTCTCGAATTCGCTCCCTCTTGCAAATATTTTGGGTTATTGAATGCATTCCCAGTAAAAACTTCCAAGTACTAGCAAAAACTCGTAACAATTTTTTGATATTGAATGGACCTATTGCTATGCTCCTTCTTAGAAGAACGTAATTTAGCATTTTCGACAACCGAGTCCCTAACCAAATGTCTACAAGAAAAAAAAATATTATTAAAAATCAACGCGATTATTTAGCCTTTTTAAACTTGCACATTATTGCCCTGAAATTTAATGGACTATCAAACTGCATACTCAAAAAAAATTCTAAAAACTCTGAATAAAAAGTTGAAAATCTAGCTGAAAATTTGCAGATTGTTTATAATTTTTACACAATTTGTGTGGATTTATATTTTGTTTTTTAATGAGCTTGGCTTTTATGGAAAAATAATAAACATTAAATAAACGAAAGAGAAACAGCCAAAATCGATCGAGACTACTTTGAGATTTTCGGGATCCGCGGCACTAATTCGGAATTTTCGAGACTTCTTCAGGATTTTCGGAATCTTCGGGACTACTTCGGGATTTTTGGGCTATTTCGGGATTCTCGGGACTAAAGTGGAAAGTACAAGATTATTTTCGATGTATCATATTATGAATGTGCACGCTCTCTTCCTTGTCATAAATGTTCGCACATGTATGTGTACGTATATGTCGTGTAAAGAAATGCCTAGCGCTTTGCTTCCACTTATTACGCCCACTTATATTTTTCAGTCCTACAATAACCTACAAATTAAGGCACTTAAAAATAAAAGTCCCTACAAAAGTGTTTTTGCCCAAGGGAAATTTTAGCAGTTGATAAATAACCCACAACGGAAAACACAAAAAGATCGCACAGAATGATTTGCCACGGTGACAAGCACTCTTTGCTTGAGAGACGAGTGTTTGTGTCAGTGGTAAACACCATACGGGACACTTGGTGACGGTTATTTTCGATCTCTGGTAATTAATTATGACTGCCTGCAACAAGGAAAGGCCGAGCTCATCTAACTAATAAAAGAAACTAATTACAAGGTATTCATTACAGGCGAACCTTTCCAAGAAAACACCCGGGAACTAAGCAAATCTGAGACCTTTATCGTCCGTGATTCCATAATTCAAATTATTATAGGAAACGGGGTACCTTTTAACAAAATAACAAGATTTTAAACTAATCCTGCTGGCAGCCACGACTTTCAAAACAGAATTTTTTCGAAGTTTTCATTCCTAGAAAATAATTTATTTGCCATATCCACATATTCACAACCTCGTTATAAGCGCACATTTTTCAACCAATTTCGCATCCGCGGATGTCTAAAATTCCACATTCGCAACATCCCTACTTTGCACCAGGAAGCAAACTTTATACTTAAGATCCTTTCAGTTGCTTCGTTTGAGTGTGGTATTTTCACTTTTTCATTTTCATTTATTCATTTCAGTGATTATAATTAGTACAAGAGTGTGGCATTGAAAAAACAAAATTACACTTGTTTTTTTAGTTTAGAAACGTACAACTATAATAAAATTATTTTCTTCTTATTTTTTTACAGGGCAATTTAAATAAGTTCCAACTTATGTAAAAACCTTATAGAGATCCTAAAGTAATTTGTTTGTGTAAAAGAATATTACACAAGCAAAATTCATGGGGTAAAATTACTGAACACCGAGTTACCGAGTACCAAGAACGGTGGGAAGACCCCTCTATTACCAATTTTTATCCTCGGAGTTGAAAATTCAGTACAAATTTTGAAAAATCGGGCCAATAGCGTACTGATTGAAGAAATGAATAAAATCAGTACGAGAGTTGAAAAATCAGTACTGTACTGATAAAATCAATCCGTCTGGCAACCGTACTTTCGCACTTAAAATGTTAGTAAAGATTATCCAATACGGACCATGAAAATACTTTTTTGCACAGACCAAAGTACACAAACACAAAAATTTAATCCAGGCCATATAATTTTTTTTTGCTTTTGATTGGTTGTTCTCAACGAAAAAAACATTATTAAATAAAAAGTTACTGGTTACGCGTTTTTGAAAGAAGATTTTGCAGAGATGTTAAGTGGCCCGTCTTATAGACAGGGTTCTTCTGCTGAAGAAGTATATTTTATACACGCAAATGTAAAAGTGGAAAAACTTCAGGACTTTTATAAAATATGTGAAATTCATTTAGGCTGCTTTTCTTTATTCCTTCTGAACGTTTGGAATAAACTTTTTTGTTTACTTATTCTTGAGAACGTTCCTGATGATATGTTAACGTATATTTCAAACGCATTCTGTTTATTCCGGCTGTGAAATGGGATTATCCGGAATGTATAAAGAAACGCAGCCTTAAAGTTGTGAGCAGCACTTTTTTCGTTCGGTATTTGACACATTTTTTAATACCTGCTTTTTTTTGATTCCTCAGAACCTACAAATGAACGTCTAAAAACCCCAAACATTAGGTTACATCGCTCAAGAGGTAGTGCTTTAATAGAAACTAGATAATAAGCGAGTTGCACTAGAAATTTCTTGCTTTTCTCGAGTGAATTTCTAGCAGTAAATTTCATTTAAACCGTTACTTTTGTTATAAATAACTATTTACTGATATTCGCACATACGAGTAGTAGTAATGAAGATATAGAAACCGGACTTGACAGTGCAGATGCTTTGTGGAGGCAACAATATGCCAGTACACAAAATGTCAGAAGATTTCCCCAGTCCAATAGTAACTAGATCCCCACCAGTCCAAAATCAGAGAAATGTAATACTTTTAAAAAACTACTTTATTTCACTTTTTCCATTAGAAATCTATATCTAAGATGACGAATTTAGAACTGGTTTGGAACTATAGAAAAAGGAATGCAGAACGAACTAGATCTTATTTCTTGAATTTAGAACTACTTCGGAACTATCGAAAAGGGATGCAGCGGGGGCTTGTTTACTTTACATAGATATGAGTTTGGCGGCCTTTTTGTTCAAATAAGCTTGCATTCTGCACTACGCAGATGCTTTTTCATAGCTTGGTAATACAAAACAAAAATTTGTGTTAACATTTTAATATCCTGGGATCTTCTGGAATCTAACCAATAACGACAAGCACCTCTGAAAACTCAGCAACAGCCAAAGGTATATAAACGTACATTTATTGCAATCATTCAAACATATTTACATAATTTCAAATTGAAAACACATTTCTTTGAAAATAATTTAAAATCGCACAGATGGAAGAACCAAAAATTATTTTTTCGTCTGTCAATTTTAGAACTCTGTCGGAACTATAGAATTTCGGACTAGTTCGGAACTATCGATAAAGGGATGCACCGGGGGCAATTGACACTTCCTAGGAGATCGCCATGTTAATTTCGCCAGTTGTTTGCATGCAAAAGAGATTTATCGCGAACCAGTACTTGGTCTAAATGTACTAGAAGCGCAACAGTTCAGAACTAGAGATTTTCCCCACAGAGTATGTATGTACGTATGTAAACTCTCGCAAGTATCTGCATATATACGTATGTATGTGTGTATAATAAGTGTTTGGATACGAGTAAAGAACATTCTTTACATGGTACTTTTACTTGCAAACTTTACAATCTAATGCAATAAAAGAAAACTTTTCTAATTAGAAGCCATTATGCGATCAAAACGGCAATTATCCTTAAAAACAGTTATCTAGGTTTTGAGTTGACAATACGAATTAATTTCATAGCATGCAAGCGGCTCTGTTGACTGCTGCCTTTGAAAAATTTAACGAACCTTTTATTACGAGCTAGCTTACCAATTTAGTGGAATGAAAAATTTGAAGACGACTGAAATACTGGTATCTACCACTATACATATGTACATACATACATATGTACTACAAGTATGTATGTATGTAGCTACCTTTGGCATGGTGTATCTGCGAGGTTCTTAGGAACCATTTTAAGAAAAAAATCAGCGATAATGAGGAATTTCTGAATAAGCAAATTTTTTATTGATGTGCATCGTTTTTTTCTTATTCACCTCAGCAAACTGCCAGCATATGATCTATATGTTGGTGGCGGCGAGTTTCCACGATCAACACCATTTTGTCTGTCACGATCCAGTAGTAATAGCCTGAAAAAAGTAAAAAACGGCAATTAATTAAAAGCTACAGGATCAATGAACGAAGTAAAGGTAAATCTGCAAAGATGGTCTTCAAATATATATATTACTTTAATTTAATTCATTAAAACCTTTATGAATATCTGTATATTCTCCAGGCCAAGACAAAGTACCTTCGGACACCTTTATTACACAGAGAGTTCTCTTGAGCCAAAAGTTTTTCCTATCTCAAGTCTTAAGGAGAGTGAAACCCGCTTTTAAGTGCTCCCGCAACACGTTCGGCAAAAAATTTCTAAAAAATCAACAGTAATTTTTAGCCACTTGAAACTTGCACAATATTGCACTAAAATTGAATGGGCTATAAACACTAGTGATATGCGGCTAAACATGTCGGCCCCTCGAAGCAGGCCTACTACGAGGGTCGGATCAACCTCCACCATTCTAAACTCGCGTCCGCGAATCCTGAGGTCCGCCTGACTGCCAGTGGACTTGACGTTGCCCTCATGCAGGAGCCGTGGATACTCGGCAACAAAATCTGCGGGCTTGGGGTGAAGGGCTTTAAGCTAATTGCCGCACAAAATGCAGGTAAGACTCGAGCTTGCATATTAGCAAGGAACAACTTAAACATCTTCCTGCTTCAACAGCTCAGTGATGGCGATCTGGTAGCGGCAAGCATAGAGCTGGATAAAATCAGCTTCTGGGTAGCCTCTGCCGACATGGCCCACGATAAGGACGTACCACCAGAGAAGGTTCGGACATTGGTCAAGGAAGCAGCCTATAGGAAAAAACAACTGGTTGTCTCCTGCGACGCTAATGCTCACAATTCGATGTGGGGGAGCACGAACACGATCGCTAGAGGCGAATCGATACTAGACTTCATTCTAGGAAATAAACTTAGTGTCTTGAATTTAGGCTCAGAGCCAACCTTTATAACAAAGAGTAGAGAGGAAGATTTGGATATAACCCGGACTTCGGACATGTTTGCCCATAAAATCAAGAGATGGAGAGTACTTAGGGTTGCCAGATTTTTTTGGGCCGAAATCAGCACATTAGACTTTTTCATGCTATTGAATGCAGTACATTTCAGTACACTTTTATTCCAAGCAGAATTATGAATGTAAGTAGACAATACTTTTAAACGCCAGATTACTTGTTTTTCATATTATCTTGGTATATAAATAAAATGTTTTTCATAAAAATTAAAAAGGTTATTCATTTTAATATACTCATATACACATTAACATGTAGTACGAAAAACCTTTATAATATCATTGTTCCAATAAATTATTTTATATAACGGGTGATTTTTTAAGAGCTTGATACCTTTTTTTTTAAAAAAAACGCATAAAATTTGCAAAATCTCATCAGTTCTTTATTTGAAACGTTAGATTGGTCCATGACATTTACTTTTTGAAGATAATTTCATTTAAATGTTGACCGCGGCTGCGTCTTAGGTGGTCCATTCGGAAAGTCCAATTTTGGGCAACTTTTTCGAGCATTTCGGCCGGAATAGCCCGAATTTCTTNTTTTTTAATAGCAATAATGAGATCGTTTCCTCTTTCAGTGTTTAAATAGTCAAAGAACTCTAAACATTATACAGTGAAACACGCTTAAGTACCTAAACCGCTTAAATAACATTTTTGGGCACCGTGAATATTTTAATGTTATCTGAAGAAAAACCCTATTTTAAGTACCTCCCCGCTTATTTACCCAACCCGCCTAAGTGTCTAAATTTTTCGTAACCCATTTACCATTTTACTTATGATTTTCCCCTTTTAAACAAAAAAAATCTAAAAAATCAAGGGTAATTTTTAGCCACTTGAAACTTGCACATTATTGCACTAAAATTGAATGGGCTATAAACACTTCTGAGAAAAAAGTTTGAAATTTTGATGATCATTTTATGAATTTTCTTTTCAGTGTTCTAAAAATTTTTAAGCTTAGGTTTATATGGTATTTGTTAGGGAATGAACTGTGTTTTAATTGAAATATCTTATAAATTAGTAAATATGCATAAGTGGCAAACAACATCATTTCGAATTTGGTCCGAAATGATAGATATGTCCAATACTGTATGTATGTATAAATATGTATAATCAATGACTTTAACGAATTTAATTCTTGTAAAAATTACATAACATTGCTTTATCGATTTTTTATAAACTTTTTGCTTATGTGTTTATGTTTTTAAATAATGCTACGTACACTTCATTAAATGTTCATGTTTTATTCAAGGATTGGTTTATGTAAGTTAACTAGAAGATTAACGACATCAATAATTATGTTCGCTTAAGTACCCGAATCGAGTTACTTAAGCGGATTCTTTTAAGTACCCAACCCGTCTCAGTACATACCTCAAAAAGCTGACACTTTTCCTGAGGTACTTAAGTAGGTTTTACGTATTTTAATATTACTTTTAGTTTGAAGTTCACTTTCTAAAACTTTAATTAGATGTCAGTTTCTCTCTTTTCGCCAGGAAGCAAACTTTATACTTAAATAAGTTCCTCTCAGCTGCTTCGTTTGAACGTGGTATTGAAAATTACATATTTATTCAAACTGTGGAAAGATACCTCTATTTAAGGACTACATCCGTATTTCATCATGGCTTAAATTATTTTTTCAACTGCGCAAAAACTAAGAATTCGCCAAAAGGAGTATCTAAATTGAGTAAGTCAATTGATAAAAACGAATTGTAAGTTGTAGGCAAAGCCATTCAATTATTCAAATTTGTTCTTATTAAACTGAAAGTTATTTTCAAGATAACTAACAACACTCGACAAAATAAGGCGGTCCTCTTTTTAAATAAATTATACGCCATGATATTATCGCAACTGGAAGGTAGTGGTCCGCAATGTGCCCATAAAACGATTGCTGTTTTGTATTAATTTCTTTACCTTACTTAAAACATGTCAACTATAATTAAATTATTTTCTTCTTACTTTTTACAGTAAGTTTTAAGAAAGCTCCAACGTTATGTAAAAATCTTTAGCAAATCGTAAAGTATTTTGTTTGTGTAAAATAATATTACACAAACAAAATACATGGGAAATTACCGATCACCGAGTTACCGCGTACCAAGCTCGGTGGAAAGAACCCTATTACAAATATCATTGCTCAGAATTGAAAAATCAGTACAAATCAGTACAAATTAAAAAAAAATCAGGACATTAGCGTACTAATTGAAGGAATGAATAAAGTCAGTACGAAAGTTGAAAAATCAGTACTGTACTGATAAAATCAGTACGTCTGGCAACCGTAAGAGTACTTAGTGAAAAGTCTTACTCTGACCATTGTTATATTCAATTCGAAATAGATCTCAAGACCCCCCAAGTTAGGGAGTTCAGAAATATACGAAATACAGACTGGGTGGTTTACAACAAAAACCTGAGGACTTTATTGCCAAAGATACCACCACGGGACCCCGCCACGCAGGTGGAATTGGACGGGTTGGTTAACCACTAAAGCCATGAATAGTTCTTTGTCAGCCGGATGCCCGGTTGTTAGGTACAGGGGGAAGAACCAACCACCTTGGTGGTCAAAACAACTATCCTCGTTACGTGAATCCAATAGCACAATGTTCAAAAAGGCCAAAGCCACCAGAGCAACAGAGGACTGGGAAGCCTATAAGGCTGATTTGAAAATATACGAAAAAGCAGTTAGAACTGCGAAACGTAAATCATGGCAGTTATTGCAGGGAAATTGAGGAAACCACGGAAGCGGCCAGATTAAGAAGAATTATTGCAAAGTCACCAAGAAACTCATGGACTACGACGAGCGAGGAATCTTTAGGTCTCCTCATAGACACACACTTTCCAGGTAGCAAGCCGATGGAACTTAACGACCCCACAAATGACGGGAGGATATCTGTTCTAGGAAATCTACTGACCACTAAGGCGAAAATCGAATGGGCTATTAAGACTTTTTGTCCTTACAAGTCACCGGGACTTGACGGCATACACTGCAGAAATCACGGGGTATTATCTCCCCATTCATTGCGTCTATTATAAGAAGCTGTGTTAACATGGGCTATGTTCCGCTAGGCTGGAGAGAGACAAAAGTCTCCTTCATTCCCAAGGCAGGTAGGTCCTCTCACATTAACCAGAAGGACTTCAGACCCATCAGTCTTACGTCTTTTTTGCTCAAACTTTTAGAGAGGATAGTGGATGATTATGTATGGGGCGTGATACCAACTAGTAGGCTCTCCCCAGCGCAGCATGCCTATACGAAAGGCAAATCTACGGAAACCGCCTTACCGTTGAAACACAATACCGACGAACGGCGAATTTTAGCAAAGTAGTGCGACGACGGCGGCAACTTTCGCTCAGTAGAACACAACTACGGCGACAACGAATGTAGCTGCTTATGACAAGGTTCAATTAAAATTTTTACAAATAATAAGATTATTAATTTTTAACAAACCTAATACAGTATTTTTCAATTTCGATTTAAAAACTTGAGAATATTTAGCATATGGCCACAATGGATCGTATTTTGCCGCTGCCACTTGCAACGACGATAGAAATAAGTCTATCGTTGCGAACACTCGTCGGACGAACGTCGTCGTTTGCTTTGGTTGTGTGTGCTCATTTACAGCGAACATTCGCAGCGAAAAATTCGTCGTTCGTCGGCATTGTGTTTCAGCGGACATGATGTTTTTCAATAAAATTCTGAAGTAGGGCTTTCTTGAAAAGTCTTTTAAGATAGGGCGTTTTCGAACTGGCTGCGATCATATATGCGGCGTTCTATATCAAAATGGACGGGTTTACACTTAATGCGTTTGATTAGTTTCAAAAACTAATGTTTTTATCAAAAAATTTGTATGTAGAAAATTTTTATGTGTGTATGTGTGATTTTTTTTTTGTAATTTTTTCCTCGCCCCGTTTTCGAGAAAACTATTAAATGGATTTGTTGTTGGCTTTGTGCTGTAAGGTTTTCAAAAATGTATTAACCAAGCTCAAGCTTCATATTTATTTATTATTTATGTTTATCCATCAACCCTAAAAATTTTAAAC